TCGGATTCATACTAGTTAACCCACTGACTGATGCATCAAGGCCTGGGGCAATCGGCTGCAGGAGCGTGGGAGGGAAGGGGTGATGTATATGTCACCGATGTAATATACGTATCTGAGCAGCGGAGACACCGCCTTCATGACACACACGGAGAGTAAATACGTGTGCGTCTCATGTGCGAGACCGTCACGAATCCATGTCCCGAAAGCATAATGAAAGGCTGGAAGCACAAACAACTTGGAGAGCTTCTTGACTCTCTGGACTGTAGAGTCGAAACCCAAATGAATGCCCCGCAGAGTGCACTGATGCAGAGGAGCTCGCTCTAGCAGCTCTGAACAAGGTCCTTGCCCGGACTGGCGCCAGGGGGCCTGGCAGGTTGAGCAGGTCTTTGAGTCCCCGCATCCCCTTCTAGGCGTTCTCAAACTGAGCTCTCCAAGGCTTCGGCTGAGGCGCTTTCAGCCGCCTGCGAATATGCCTGGGAGGCAGGGCCCGAAAGTCTCTCTCTCCAGAGCTCCTCTGCATATTCAAGAAAGGTACACTGTCCAAGTTCTTTGATACTGAAACGGGAATCCCTGTGTCATTGACCGCGGGGCCTGAAACCCGAATCAGCACAACCCTGCAAGTTTCACCCGGAACCTTTGTTGGCCAGACCCAACCGGGGTATCCCTCGAAAGCAGCCCGGGGTTGTTCTGGAATCTTGTTTGGGGGTGATGGTGATGCATGGGTTTAAGGTACTGCTGGTCCGGTTCCTGTTCCTTTCTGCTGGCTCGAGCTCGGCATGATTTCTTTTTGGGGTCCACTTGGTCGTTTGCTTTTTTTCGCACCCTCGGTGTGGGGTTGTTAGAAAACTGAATTCTTCTCCTCGCCCGGTCTACTTCGCCCGGTCTACTCCTCGCCCAAACCCAGAGTGCCCAACCCCAGCCGAGAGTGTCCGGGTGGGGATATTCGAAGTAAAATATTTTTTGAAGAGGGCTCGGCAGTGCTCAGCTATAAAGAATCCGAAAACATGTGCGGGTGTAAACCCGCGACGGGGGGCAACAAAAGTCAAAAGTCACCGGTTTTGAATGTCGGAAGGGTTGAGCCGATTGGCTTTCACGAAGCTGGCAGTCCTGCAGGCAGGCGTCCCTGCCGAGCTCCTGGAGCCCGCACGCGAGGTGGCTGTCACGTGATTGGAATAATGGTTTCGTGTAGCGTTGTGGGGTGAGAACTTCCGGAGTTACGCATGTTTATGGGCTTCTTTGTAAGTATACTCAGAATATTCTTAGGGCCCAGATGTCTTCTCAACACTTCTTCGCCTTCCGGCCAATGTACTCCTAAAGCTCCGCGCAGGGCTCATCCCAAGACCATCCTAAACCCCAGAGGCAGTGGCACTGGTCTCTAGACCCCAACTCCCGAGAGGAATGTGGTCGCCGGCAGTTCCGCCAGGCAGCGGAGGAGGTGCGCCAGGTCGATCCAGGTCGTGAGGGTAAAAAGATCAGGAGTTCAGGGGCCATTGCGACAAGACCATATACTATAAACGGACGTTGTTCTGTTGCCTCCTTGCCAAAGGACCTTGTTGTTTTTTTGGGGGGCGGGGGGGGGTGTCAAGTATCAGTGCCTAGGAGTCGCATGAACCGAAACTGTTTGGCAAGAGTTGCCTTGTCCCGTCCAGGCCCTCCTCACCGCCCTGGCCCAGCGAAGCGCCGTAGAAACCCTGGAGCCGGCCTCCGAGAGGGAGTTTAAGTATTCAAGAGCCGCTCCTTGTGCCTGCTTCCTTCGAAATGTACTTTGACTTCAGAGCTTCAGCTTCAGGTGGGGTGGGGACTCCATCAAGTGACATCACGTGCTCTTGTATTGGGCTAGCAGGTCCAATGTCCAGAGGTTGGACTACAAGTAATGCTGCACCACCAGCTAGCCCTTCGTTTTGAAGAGATTCTCTATCAGAAAATGGCTTGACGAGCAACTTTTCCGAGATCATTGGCCTGTTTTCATCTAGCATTAGTCTTGCTATGTTTATAGGCTTTGCCGATCAACTTTAGTTAGTAGGTTTTTCATTGGCCTATATTGGCCTCAGCTAAAGTTAGCAGTGGCTGGCTTCCATCATCAATAAGCATTGGCATACAGATCCACAAAACAGTCTTGATCCAACGGCACCTTACCATGAGATTTTGAAGCCCAATTGAGAGAACTTTACAAGGGCAGAGGTAGGAACCAACCGAAACTGCACCATCCAGGGTCACAGAGTTAAACGTTCCGACCGAAATTGTAGCAAAGTACTTGCCGGACTTGGTACCACTTTAAAACCTGCAAGGTATGGACAACTCTGACGTCCGAGCGTGCTTGCATGTTGTCAAGGAAATTTGCAGCAGCAGGTCAGAGGTGAGCGATGCAAGTAGTGTGGGGAGGTCTTGCTTTACTTGGTATCCGATCCATACTACGCATGGGACTACAGAACACATCGGCCCTCGGTCTGAAGGAATCGCTTTCCAACCCAGGCCAGTTCTCCAGCGGGCGGAGAAGGTCACTTGCATGTGTATTCTTGCAGTTCGAATGCTGTTGGACGGGAGGGTTGGGGGTTCCATTCTAAGCGAAAGAGCACCGAACGGTCCTAGAGCGAAAGTCCTCGCAACAAAGGTGCTCAGCACCATGTACGACCATGCAAGTAGAAGCTTGCTAGCCCCCCTTCAGACGGTTTCTTTCAATCCAGAGCGGGGATGGCACACTAGCCAATCATCCTGTGTGCCCTAATGCGCTTCTGCCGGAGTGTGCTTTGTTGGCGAGCCGGTTTCATCTGTAGATGGCAGTGAACTCAGCCGCTTGCCAGGCCTCCGTTTCGCAGGAACTTCTGCATCATGCCCGTCAGCGTATTGAGGACATCCGTGTCGGATTCGGCAGGAATAGCAGTGACACTACTCTGATTCTGTATGGCCATTCCGATTGTTTAGCTATCATCTTGAGTCGGTGCAAAGCTTTGCATGGTATCTGCGACCCCGAGATGGGCGCGACAACGCCTTTCCTGCTCTGCACAAACGAGGTTGCGTCAACCGGCTGGAGACTTTCATCTGAAGTAATCCTAAGGTGTGTCTGCAATTTTGCAGCACATGAACATGCAAGCCGAACCGCTTCGTGACACTTGTCTTGCAGAGCTTGCATAGGATAAGCCTTGCTGGGTTTTGGCATCCGCGCCCCCAAAGGTCGATGTATTTGCTGTGTCGATTAGCAAACTGGAGAAGATGTTGAAGCCATTTGAAGCCGATTGGCTGGGAGCTTGCAGGACCTTCGCCACAGTACGCCCGCCACCGAGTCATGTGCTGGTCCTCTGCATCTATTGGAAGCTCTTGTGAATGGATGATGCAGCCATATGCAGCTTGTCTGTGGGAAGGCTCGATTCTAGATAGTCTTACAGAAATACCTGGTGAAGGTAGAAATCGTGCAGGTAATTAATAAGTTCTGTGCTGGATGGTCGCTTCTGGTGGAGGCAGTGGCACGGTCGAATCCGGTCGAAGATTCACTGCGACGGTCTCGCTAGGGAAGAGGTTTGTCCTTAGAAGTGCTTGGTACTATCCGCAGCTGTTTGCAACATTTTGCAACGCAAGCAGGGCCAAGACTCTATACCTAAAGAATGCAACAACAATCGTTGACCCCAAAGTGAACTGGGTTGAGCTTGGAATGAGGAACGCTTTCCTTGATGTGCAAGTGACACATTTCTCGACTAGCGAATGAACCGCACTTGCCAGCTTGAAGCACACCCCTCATTTAGACAGCAGCCACCACCCAAAAGCATAGACCCACTTCAGCTTAAGACCACTTTACCTGGGCCAGTCCTGTGTCTCCCAAACTTCAGCCTCAGCCTGCACGCTATACCTGCCCCCTCGTCCACGTGACTTCCACCGCAATGGCAGATTTGCAACTCGCCTCCAACATCTCACAGCTCAGAGGGGATACTTATAAGGCCCACAGATGCTTCACAACATGTCACAGGTGTTTGTCCCTTGTGGGGATTTCGACGATTCTTGTACTCATTTCGGCAAGCTCATTCTTGTAAGGCTTAGCAGCCTAAGCCTGTGCTGCACCTGCCTTCTTTGCCGACATCTTGAGGCAAACGCCTGCCGTGTATTCGGCTCTGGGTGAGCACCTTGCTGAATTTCACCCTCTTTTAGCTTGTACAGGGCTCCGGGGTTGCAAGGTGTGTTGCTTGCGGGTTTCCGGAAGCTCCACTCTTCCTGATAGGATCCGTTGCAAGTGTGCAGGAGGGATTTGGTTCACTGACAGGTGCTGCCATGAGCAGCCTTCAGTCTAAGCCTAGGATGACGGTGTGAACGGCGGACTCCCGAAAGCAAACATCTCCAGAACCTGCGCCACTTCACAGGCCCAAGAATGCCCAACACCATTTAGGCTTCGCAGTTATTGATTGTGTTTCCTGATCCCGACGGCAAAGGGTGACTTGTCGAGTTGCCCGGAACTTCCACAGAACGAGGCGCCCTCCGCTGTTGGGCTGGGGCATGGAGCGTGCTGGTGCCGAAAGCCAGTCAGCCGCAGTGGGCCACCCGAAGCCCCAGACCTATAATTACACTGTTACTTCTGAGGGTTGTTGGGCTTGGCCGGGTTTGTGCAGTTGAGGGCGTGACCTTATTTCTTAAGATACTTCAGCTGTGCATCACGCTGACCTGGCACGTCCGAGGCGTGAGAGAGCAATTTTGACAAGGCCATAATGATTTGCGGGACCGAAGCTCATTGATCTTCCGCAGTTTCTTGAGGCTAGTTGATACGCGGGGTTTTGGTGGGGACTGCAGGTTGAGACTCGGAAGCCCCCGAACTGAACGAAGTATGTGATCCCCGGTGCCAGGAATGTAGTCCGGGTAAGCCCCCCGTCACCACTACAGTACCCGACCCTTTGTACACTATGCAACAGCTCCGCAAAACGATTCACGCTACACAAATTCGCCTGGGTGACACCTGACCATGTAACTAGCCCTGGCCATGCGCTCACGGCTCACTCCACTGAGGAGAGGTGTCCCACAGCATGTACCTTCTGCTACATTCCGAGATGGTGGCATCTTTGAGGGACCCTTTGGTCGCAAGCACCACCTTTTGAGCGAAGTAGCATAGAGGCTTTTATGAGTGAGACGAAGAGTAAATCTGCCCACTGTTTAGTACTTGGCTCTCGCGGAAGCGGAAGAGAGCATGTCAGGGGCACCCACGGTAGAAGGTATGTCACAAACATTGTTTATTGAGACTGATGCCCGTCAAGACAGCACAGTGCTGCGTTAAGTCCAACACATCGGGGAGAAATCGCAATAGGCTTGTTTGCAGGTCTTGCCGGTTTCTACAAAGAGCGGCCATCATGTACTCACAGTCTCCATCTTTGGCACGCTCTGCTTGTTGGGCTGACAACCCTCGAAGCCCAGCCTCTGTTGACGCATCGCAGGAGCAGGGAAGTGAACAAGCAGAGGTGGGATACTCAAGTTGGCTGAAATTGAAACGACTGAAACCCTCCCAATGTCTTCAGAAGGTTTCGCGAGCAGAGCTCGGGGTCTCCAGGGCTTCAGGGTTATTGATGGACTCAGACACGTGCCACCACAAAATCAACAAAGCACTTGTTTTCGAGAGTCAACTCGATTAAGGCCTTTGTTGAGCTCTGCTCCCGGGCAGCCCCGGATCGCAATTCTAAGAGGTCATGCTTGCGTAGACTCAAAAGTCAAAAGCGCGGGATGCGAGCACCCCCCCCCCTAGCTTGGTGCCGACTCCGAGCTGACACGTTTGAGACCCTGCCAAACTGATGGGCCATGCCTGAGATCAACAGCCTTTGAGCATTGTGCTGAAAGGCCAAGCTGCGATCGACGGGATTCGCCACAGGCCTCAGGCACACGTCTCTAATTAGGTGCATCCGAACTTGCACAAAAGCAGCCCCACTGCCCAGAAGCCTGCACTAGTGACTGCACATGTCGATGTATGCCGAACCATCGTGGGGGGTTTGGCCATTGCCCCCCAGCCTACAGCTGCTTCTTGTATTCGGTTTGCAACGCCAGTCTTCCGTTGATAGGCTGGGCGTATACGTGGTTGTCTAACCAGCTATGTTTGAAGCCTTAGTCGTGCCCTGAGCGACATCCTCCGCTCACACCAGTCAAGTGCGGCAACAGGCAGACCTTGAGAATCGAAAGCACTGTGCAAAAATTGTGGAGGGGTGCAGCGCCATGCTAAATCAGGAGCTGGTTCTAGAAGTTATTGACGCAGAGGCAGTTTCCTCCCATTCGAAGAAGTGAAAGGCTCATCACCCGGCTTACTGCATCCAAGATTCCGATCACGACAGTCGCGTGGATGCATTTGGGCATCGGTGATACGGGTGGGGTGGGGGTCCTCTTCCCGTATGCATGAACTCATGTTGGGTTTTTCAGGGGCCGTTTCATACAGCTTGCCGAATTGGGGGGCACCCTGGCTAGGGCCTTGCATGCTGGACTTCAAAGTACTGTACCTGTATTGGAACCAGAGAGGCTGCTTTTTTGCATGTACAAGGACAGGTGATGCATTTACACGATGTGACCTTCCTTAGAATTCTAATTACAGAACACTCAGTCATGAAGCAGCCTCGATAGCTGGGGCTAACCTACTAACGCTCAAATCACTTCGCATGCCCGAACCTGAGAACAAAATACCCTTCCAATTGAAATGCGCAATCGGTTGAAGAGAATTACAGATCGGCGAAACTATCACCCGGCTTCTCATTCTCCAAATACTGCCGCGAGCGATTGGCTATTCATCAAACCTGAGGGCCTGAGGGTGTGTGTCGGGACGACACAGGCTTTACAGGCTAACAGTGGGAGGGATGGATGAGTTGTAAGCTTCGGGCTTAGGGTTGACCTTCAAGTAGAACAAAGTTGTCGTGACCAAACCAGCTGCCATTTGCTTTGGATGCCCCTGGGGCAGTTAAACTTAAGAAGGCAAAGATCCAGAGCAGGCCCCGAACCCGGAACTCTGCAACTTTTTGCAGATCAACTGCTAGGAGCGTATGGTCATGAAGTTCGTGTGCAAAGAGCTGCAACTTGGCCACATGGTCTGCCCCTCGAACCCGAGCCTCGGTTTCTTGTCGGCTCCTGGTTGTTCTAATCTTTCTAATCTTGAGAGCACTGCGCTCGCTTTTTCTGAAGCATTGCAGCATTGCCCCGTCATCCATTCCTTCTTCCTGCGTAGCCGGATAGCAAACAAAAGCCCCCTTAGCCTCAATTCCTGAATTCTGTGGGGCTGCACCTGACGGGACTGCGAGGAGGGACAAGAATCTCCCCCGATCCTCCAAGACTGGAAGCTGTGGACGTTTTGGGGCTTCGGTTTGGAGATTGGAGATTGTCGTATCGGCCGTTGGTGTTTCACTTTGTTTGGGACAGCATCCATGGAGTCCAGGTTTTCACTGATCAGGCTTCCGGCAGTGGAGTGCTCGATCCACCAGCCTGAGGCATCCGGGTGTTTTTGACACACGAGAATCCTGGTTCACCCCATGCCCGGCCCGAAGCAACCCTGAATGATGCCAAAATATTCATATATGTTGCCCGTTGTGTGCAGTGGGCCGAGGTGGACATATCTTTTCAACAAGCCCGCCAGCCGCCTGCAGGTGGACAAACAAGGCCGCAGCCAGGCTTCAGACGAGACAACATTTAAGGTTCGGGGGCCGTTAGCTGGCCGTCAGACACAAACGATTCCGCCACGCTGCAACTGTTTTTTTTCGTATCCGGTCTAAGAGACCCGAGGCGTTGTCAGAACCTTCTTGCATATCGCCTCGAAGGCAGCCAACTACAAGACCTGCTCCTGAAGATTAAGTCTTGACACTCTTGACATTTCATTCCGGAAACCTGAGGCTACCTTATCCAGGACCACGCGTTTCGATGGCTTCAGAGTTTCCCCGTCCTGTCGGCTGATGCGCCGCGCTCTGTCAATTCGACTGCAAGCCAGGCGTGGAACTCTAGAAATTGCTTTTCTTTTCTGGGTATTGGAGTGGCTTCAGATGGTAGGGTTTTCCCTGAGACTGTGTCGATTTGAGTTATAGGACACGCACGGCTAGTCCATCCGAAGATTCGCAGGGAGGTTTTTGACGTTTTCAGGTTCGCTGGTCATGAGACGTGATGCGCATCCATTCAACCCCGCTGATCAGCCACATGAATCACATGAAGCACCCCTCACAGGAAGCCAGTGTCCTGTCGGAGCTCCAAGAGCTCACAGCCTTGCACCTGGCCCTGCCTTGTGGCGTACTACAAGGAGCCCGGGATCCTAAGCTCGTGTTTGTACAAAATTCGAGTGTTGTTGCTCGGCCAGGGGGTCCAAAGGCTGCGCACTTGTCAACTCATGGGAAATGCAGAGGAGCCCTCTTCGGTCTTGGCCTGGAGCGTCGTGTCGCCGCGGACGCCACCCTTCCCTCGGTGACCTTCACCGTGGCGCAGGCGCAGATTCAGTGATTGCTGTATGCTCATTTGGCATTACTAGCGATCAGGGGTTCTTGATGTTCTTGAGTCCGGAGGCTTCTGTGTAAGGGTTCAGGGCCGAGAGAATCGGATCTCTGACCCCGAACCGATGGTCAAGCGTACCAATGTAAGTATCGCAAATGGCTTAAAAATCTGAGACGCCAATGAGCCACCCCAACAAAAAGGCCACACCCTCCATGGCTTCTGGTGCCGATGCCGGTGCTGCGGCTCCCAGTGAGGCGTCTCTCAACCTCTAGGCCTTAGATGCCTAAACTTTGTGGGCGTTTAGGAAAAGGGCTTATGTTCATTCAGGGTTCAAGGACTCGCAAACTGCACGAAAAGGTATACTATGAGCAAGGAAGTAGACACGAGGCCGGCTTCCGGCCAACATTCAATGCTCGCTGCTCGAATAGGAGGTTCAAGCTGGTTCTTAGCAGCCCTCATCTCACGCTGGCGCACCTTGCTGTGCAATGTCATCACCATGTCTTGGAGCGCAAGTGGAAGAGACAAAAGACGAAGTGAACGTTGCACTTTGAGGGCGGAGTCGGCTTAGTTGTGTGCTTTGTGTGTTCTTCGGTTTCTACAGGGCTCACAGCAGCTTCCGGAAGCCCATTGCAAAGGAATCGGATCATAGACTTCGAATTCACCCTTCATTGCAGGCAGCAGAGAGTGTGTAACTACAGAAGCGCCTGCGACAGTACTTCAGGTCGACGGTTAACCAGTTTAATCTCGGTTTATTATCAAGACATGTAAACATATATACATGATTTCTTAAGGCATATATACAATTAATATACATGTAGACATACACGCATACGCATGTTTGTTCATGTCGGTCGCTGTGGCATTTCATGTTTATTGCCCTTGTTCTGCTGCAGACATGACATGTTGAGGATGCTAGGGCTTTTGTTTCTAGTACAAGAGCCTGTCTTGGGAAGCGGTGGGGGGGTTCGGCTTCTCATAAGGATGCTAGGGTTTCGTGAAACACTTGGGAGGCACCGTCTCAGGGTCTGCAAGTCAAGGGCATTGAAAGGGAGTTTAAGATGTGATGCCTGTCGGCATTAGAGTGAAGCTGGAAAGCCACAAAGGCCTTTGCCACCTGAACACAATGGCCTGACCTCTCTGATTTCATATTCTTTCCTCTGACCACATCCCCAATCCTGTTGTGGAGGGGTGCGCGACATGAAGGGAAGGGATGCCAACAGCATCCCTGGCATGCACGAAGCCCGAGATCTCCTCACAAACCTCACGTTAAGCCCGAAACAGCTGGACAGAAAAGTAAGATCGAGAGAGAGCCCAATGAAAGAAAATCATGCAGAGACCAGAGAGGGGGAGACTCTGATGGAGAGAGGACAGAGACAGAGAGACGGAGTGGGCCCGAACCCATCAACGCCCGAACCATTATCCCTGGGCTGTTGATGATTCTTGACATGACCTGCTGTAGAACTTGCCTATAGAGCCAGATATGGCCTAGGCACGACGAGGAGTTGGCCAGCAAGGCGGAGGCGGACCTGGCAGCCCCAGCCCCGGATGACTTGCACTGCAATGTATGGCAGCAGCCTCAGTTCGATCTGCTAACGTTAGCACAGGAGCTTGCAAAGAAGCGACTCGTAACTTCGGCTTGAGGATAGAAACGTTGAACAAGCCTTGTTGCTGGAAAATCTCTTTTCTACCCAGTTTCCTACATAGTGCATCAGGAATGCTTCTCTCTGTTAGCACCTCGCCCCCGCACCCTTTCTCTCCACTGGTGCACTGTTGAAGGAGCACGTGCAGTCGGCCACGACAGCGTCGCAGCTCGAAGAGGCAACAGCAGCAGCCCGGATACGTTATAAAGGTGTCATCGCTGAAGAAGGGGGTTCCCTCGTGAACGGGAATGCGGTACGTCCACGCCAGCAAGGTTGCCTCCGAGAGCGAAGCAACAAGACACGGTGAACGAGTTTGTGCGACAGTGATGACAACCCAGATTTCACCCCACCCCCGTTGGGTGTTGTACGAAGGAAGTGCTTGCCGATGCCTTTCCTTGCTTATAAAAATTAGAACGGGGAAGAAAATTAAGTGAAACCAAGCCCGCCACATTTGCCGATACAAACACGAAAGCAGACATCATGAAGTCATTTTCTAGTGATTTGCTAGTTCCATTTGCGTTCACAATCTTGGACCCTCCATCCACGAAAGCTGCCATCACACTCACCCTGACCACAGGTATCCATTGCTCGAGAATGAAGTGCGCTGCCACAAATCCTGAGTTCCCTGAATGTGATGGAACCATCTGCAACCCATACCCCCCCGGTCCAGGCCCTGGATGCTGCTTTGCAGGCACACGCGCCCCGCAAGTCGCTGGACCGTGCGTGGCAGAAGAAGGCCGGGCTCGGGTTATTTTTTTGTAGCTTACAGAAAACATTGAAGCTGCTAGAACATGCATTGGCTTCATCTCATGGACGAGCGCGGAGGCAGGTCCTGGTTCTCCAAGTTGCCTCGTCCTCACATTTAGTCGTGCTTTAAGTGCAAGGACTCCACCACCTACACCCGTTTTTTAACCTGAAAGTCATTCAACGTTTCCCCAAACCCTCAGCTCAGCACAACCACATCTGGCTTCCTTCTGTTTACGCACGTCATGAGGAAATCAGAGGCTCGGGTTTCAATCGTTTCCAGTGTGTTGGTTCAGCGCACGTCAGGTTAAGTATGGTTAAGTTGCATAGACTTGCAAGACACCGAATTTGTGGTGATGTGGCAGCATTTGGGGCCTGCCACTCTCCATCCCGTGACTTTTGCGACATGAGTTTTTTAGCTGGGGGGCGCCGGCTGAGGATGGCAATGATGCTGTTTCTGAGGGTGGGGCCATGCACGTCACGGCACACCTTGGTCGTTTCGCCAACTTTGGCTGAAAGATGGATTCGACCAGTCACAGAAAAGATGTCATGAGCTTGTTACTTATCTTGGTTTGTGCAGGCCGTATAGGTGCCTACGCCGATGATTGTTTGTCTGATCGATCTCACTCCTAGCCTTAGGCCAAGCCAGCAAGCCACAACAGCACCAGCACAAGCTTGGAGTCTCAGCCGCTGCTATGAGACGTTGGCAACTGGCGCAAAGTGCGGCTGCTCGCTCGCGGGCTCCTCATGCTCTCGTCAGTCGCAGGTGGCAGGCCTCCATGGGCTTGGGTTAGCGCCTAGCGCCCTGTCAATTTTGGGAGGTTGCTTGCCAGACTGGATTTGTTGGGTTCTATTTGCGCTCCCTGACCAGGCTGCTCCGCGCCCAACATCCTTCGCCGCGCAGTTGCTGCCCTGGTGAGGAGAGGAAGAGGAGGAAGAAGAAGAATTCAGAGAGAGAGAGAGAGAGAAACGTGGCTGGTGTCTCCTTTCGGGGAGACATCTTCGCTGGGAAAAAGAAGAAGAAGACGAAGAAGAAGAGAGAGAGAGAGAGAGATGCCCCGCAAGACCTCGGACTCTCGTGCCTTTGGGGGCGGCTCCCTGGGGGGGCGGCCTTGCATGTGGAGAGAGAGAACTCGTATGACTTCCACAGACGCGGCATTCCTTCTTTACTCTTGTCCTCAAGCTGATCCTGCCAGGCACGAACACACCATTCCTGTTTCAGGGCTTGTTACGCTCAGCAAGTTCTTGGGGGAACATCAGTCACCCCATGCAAGGTTCGGGAGTGGCGAGGAGGACACAATTTCTGCAGACCGGCGCTACCTGACGAGCGGAGGAGGCTGGGGCTTCTGGAGACGGTTCTATCTTGTGTTGACATTTGGGGGCCCTACTCAGTAGAATATGAGGAGCCCACAATAGCATACAGCAGGCCAACTAAGACCCGTGCCTCGTTTTATCGCTTTTGCATAGGGTCGTCCCAAGCCAGTTTTTCCAGTTTGGGGCCCGTAGGGCAAAAGCACGGTGGGTTTATAACTCGAAAGGACGGGGTCGCCTCAGAAGCTTTGGCAGAAGCTCTGTACATTATGTGAGTGCTTAGCCTCATTTCTCTGCCTCTAGCTCATCTCGTCTTCCAAGTTCGAAATGCAGCCTTGCTGCGAGAGTCAGCCTCTAGAGCCTCCGCATGGTTAATGTACGGTGTGTTTAAGCAAGTGATCAACGCGAGGCCGGAGGGTGGTCCTGCACGACTATCGAGATCTGAAATTTCTGAAGCGGGTGTCCGCTATCGGGGTGTGCCTTGGTCTACAGCGTTCGGCATTGAGATGCGGGGGCTTAGTCCAGCTAATCCCTCTCCCCGTTAATATGTGAACCCCGAAAAGCAAAATGCACTTGCCTGTTTGAGGGGGGGTCGGGTGGGGAGAGCATCAGGATGTGATTAAGTGGATGGTGGAACGGTTGCCAGGGTTTCCCTAGCAGAGTCCCCTGCTTCTGGCTGCGCCCTTCCCGAAACATGGTTCAACAGTTAGCAACAAGTCAGACTTCGCGACCTCTCGGCATACTGGCCTTAGGTTCGGAGGTATAGGTCCTCAGCACAGTCCCAGGCACTTTTACTTTCACACTGATCGATGCCTGCCCACTTAGAGTACAATCAACGCTCCAAAGCCTACAAAATGGTTTCCATTCCGGTAGTCCAAATCCGAAGTTATGCCTGAACGGCCCATTGCTCCCAGTCTTGATCTGATATCCTACATCTGCGTAAGGTTCGGATCCCTGATGTCATCATCGAGCTTAGCATATGCTGTCAGTCTGGGCTGGAACGTCTTTCCGGCTGCAAGTTGCAGCTTCGGGGTCGGAAAAATTGAAGTTTTGGACTTGAAGATTCCAGGTTGAGACTCGTGGATGCAGGATGTGACAAGCTCCGGATACGATCAAAACGGCCATGTAGTGTAGAACCCATCCCGGTGCCAGCCACACACCCCAAAAAACACAGCGAGTTCGCGACCTGTTACGCTCGACTCGCCTAACTAGTGGTTACAAGAAACGGCTTGGACAACCCACTGAGGCCTGCAATGCTCTCCTATGCCCCAATCTGTAGACGGAGCTTGGGCCACAGGGGACTTGAAGGAATCTAGAGCGAGCGAGGCCCCGGAAAGATCCATCGGTATAACGTGAAGTTCATAGGGATCCTATCGCGCTGAGTTCCATAGAGCCCTGGGCTCTGGCTCCCCCAACCGCACGATACTCGCTGATTGAAGGCTGAACTGTGCGCCTTCCTGGTCTTTCAGACTGCGGGTGCAGCGCTGGCCCTGTACGCAACTTGTTCTCAGGTTTACCCGGTAGTTTGGGCTCAGTTTTGCTGTGGGATGTTGTGGGAGCTGGGTGTGTATCTTCCTTATGTGTGTTCTTCAACAAGCTTTATGTCGCTTATTTCAAAACCTGCGCTTCAGCACATAAGCAGGGTTGCTGGTAGCCCATGATGCAGTCCCTGGCTGGCCTATCGTTGTTGAATTTATGTCCAGCACTTTAAATACCTGGGATGTGGGAGGTCCGAGACTCCCGTGTGATCAGAAACCAGCTATGCCATGAACTTGGTCTGGACGAACTTTTCAACAGCATCCGAAAGACTGGGCACCCTTCAACCAGCAGTCGGTCAATGCTGGATGAGTGACCCAACTCTGGGGCAGCCTCTGGGAGCACCTCTTGCACTCAGAAGAGTTTTGCGACACCAGCAGACAGCTTCAGCTCCAACACTATCCAAATCTCTTCCAGCACGAAATGGTTAGCAGTTTCTGAGATTCTGAGGAATGACATTCAACCTGAGGCTTATCTGAGGACCTACATCGCTCGCGCTGTTCTGGACCCCAGGCGTGCGCAGCTGTTGATCACAGGCGCCAGCGGATTTCCTTCGTGCGCCCTTGACTGTGGCATACTGGCTTGTGCAAAGACATTTCGGCTTGAACCGCAATCTGGCAGGCTGCTCATTTTTTGGTGCGCCACGAGCTGAGGTGCCCTTTGGGTGGTTCGCCTTCCCGTTAGGATCAGAATCGTCAGGCTCGTAAGCCACATGCAGTGTAGCAATAGACAAAAGACCTGTTGGGTGAGACGGTGGGATCTGTTTCCGGTACAAGCAATCGGGGGATTGAATCCACGTTGCAAGACCGCTAGGCAGCGCCAGTCACCTCCCGGATGTTTAAGCTCGGCCCTGCGACCTCCCGGGGAGATCCAGTTTGCGTTCAACACCACCCAAGCACATTGGGGGAGTGACTGCATTTCCCAATGCCGAAGCCCTGTTTGAAAAGTTTCCGGACTCTTATGAAGGGGGAGGGAGTATGGTAAAGTTGGGGAGAAGGTGTTATGGACTATAGTGACTGGCAGCACTTCCACGTGCACTTTCTTGGGTAACTCAACTCAGCTTTAAGTGGAGCAAGATGATGACTGCATGTGCACTTCTGTGTGTCACAGGACGAGGCGATCCACTTGTCGCAGCTGCGACCTGGCTATTCCCTGGAGGGAGGCTACATAAAATTCCGTCCCTTGGGTTGCAAAGTACTGATGAGCACTTGAGGTGCCAGATTTGCCAGCGTTCATGCCTTCTAGTCGGCAATGCCCACGTCCTCAGCGCGCACGCGCCGACGCCTTTGCGACATGTCTATCTATCTGCAGATACTTTCAGCAGGAGCGCCCAGGTCAGGGAGAAGTTGGTAAAAGTTCGGGTTGGCAAGCACCTTGCCTCCTAAAGCTCCAGGCCACCCAAACCTCCACATCGAATTCTTGTGAGCCAAGGACTCGAGGGCCCTGTTTGGGACGTATCTCGCTGGATCTGGCCCCCTTGCGGCACTAACGCGCATGCGACCTGCTGCGAAAAGAAGTGCTGGATCTGGTGAGCCAGCGGAGCTTTGAGGCCGCTACATGCGAAAGAAGGACATGTGCAAACAACATGAAAGCCCAGGTTTCGGATTCCTCGAAGCGAAGAGAGCCTTCGCTACTCAATGCCGAGCTTTGGGGACTTGGGGGTTGTGCTTTTGAATCCACAGGCGCTCACGGCGTGGCTCAGCAAGGGCTTTCAAGGTTCATAGGCTCAGCGTTGGCGCCAGGTCCTTTAAGTTTTATAATAAGTTCTTGCACATAAGGCATGATGGTGTCTCGCCATTGCTTGTAATCTGCGTTGCAAGTGCGTGAACCCATGAAAGCGCCTGAAAGCGCAAGACCACCACCATCCTCCCCCCACCTTCCGGCACCCCTCCCCCCTCCCAACCAAGAAAGGCAAAAGCCGTGCTAAAAGTAGATATACATATTAGAAATATATATATATATATGTGACCATATAGCTCACCCCCCCCCCTTCGACAGACCCCGGAAGCGCAAAAAAGGCAAAAAGGCTGAGGGCGCGACGGACAGCATGGCTGCACACAGTGGGGTGCATAGGATTCATTTTGTTTTAATAGGAATCTTATGAAATGAAGAGGAAACCCATTAAAAAGAATGAGAACCCTTAATACGATTAAATTCAACGGAAACCCTATTCAAATGACAGAACCCTATTTAAAGTTGATAGGAATCATATTACATTTGTAGGAGCCTTATTCAGAATATGCAAACTATGAAAATTTATTGGAATCTTATAAACACAAATAGGAATCCTTTCCTTGAATCCATAGGAACCCTATTAAGATTAATCGGAACTGTATAAAAAATAATAGGAAGCCTATCAACATGAATAGGAACCCTATTAAAGTTAATGAGACCAATTGATAGGAATCCTAATAAACTGAAGAGGACCCCTACTAAAATCAATAGGAACCAATGGGACCTTAACTAATAGGAATCCTACTAAAATTAATATGAGCCTAAACCAATAGGAATCCCTTTCAAATGAATGAGATCCCTATTAAAATTAATACGAATCCAATGAACATGAGTAAGAGCTCTGAAATTGATATGAATCTTATTGCATTAGTAGGAGCTTTATCAAAATAATTAGGAACCATATGAAACTTTATTGGAATCCTATGAAAATAAGTAGGAATCCTTCGGAATCCTACCGAAATTTATCGGATAAGCTAGTAGGAAGCCTGTTAAAATAGGAACCCTTAACAAATCAAAAGAACGCGGTGAAGATGAAGAGGACCTAATAGGACTCCTATGAAAAATAAGATTCGCAAAAACAAGAATTAATAGGAACCCTACTAAATGAATATGAGCCTAAACCAATAGGAATTCCTTTCAAACGAATGAGACCTCTATTAACATTAATACGAATGCCATTAACATGAATAAGAACCCTAAAATTGATAGGAATCTTATTACATTAGTAGGAGCCTTATTAGAATAATTAGGAACCCTATGAAACTTTATTGGAATCCTATGAAAATAGATAGGAACCCTCTATTGAATTCATAGGAATGCTATCAACAAATTCGGAACCGATAAAAGTAAATAGGAAGCCCATTAAAATGAATAGGAACCCTTAACGAATTGAAAAGAACCGGTTATAATTCATAGGAGTCCTGTTAACATGAGAAGGGACCTGAGTAAAATCCCTAAACCCTAAACCCCAAACACTTATAAACCCTAAACCCAGCCCTAAACCATGTAGAACCCCTCAAAAAATCTTACCAAGACTCCAGTTTACAAAATTCAAAAAACCCAAAAAACCCAACCCAAGTGTCGGAATTTTGGAAACTCCAGCGGGAGCCTCAAATCCAAAAATCGGGCTCCCGCTCGAGTTTCCAAAATTCCAAAAATCCAAAAAGCCCACCCCAAGGTTTGGATTTGAGGAAACTCGAGCGGGAGCCTCAAAATCCAAAAATCCAAAATTCCTCGAGTTTCCAAAAATCCCAACATCCAAAAATTCCAATCCAAGTTTCGGATTTTTGGAAACTCGAGCGGGAGCCTCAAAATCCAAAAACCCAAAATTCCTCGAGTTACCAAAATCCAACAATCCAAAAATCCACCCCAAGGTTTGGATTTTTGGAAACTCGAGCGGGAGCACGAATTTTGGATTTTGAGGCTCCCGCTCGAGTTTCCAAAAATCCGAAACTTGGCTTGGAATTTTAGGATTTTTGACAACTCGAGCGGGAGCACGAATTTTGGATTTTGAGGCTCCCGCTCGAGTTTCCAAAAATCCGAAACTTGGGTTGGAATTTTTGGGTTTTTGGATTTTTGGAAACTCGAGGAATTTTGGATTTTTGGATTTTGAGGCTCCCGCTCGAGTTTCTAAAAAATCCGAAACTTGGGTTGGAATTTTTGGATTTTGGATTTTTGGAAACTCGAGGAATTTTGGATTCCAAAAAACCCACCCCAAGGCTTGGATTTTTGGAAACTCGAGCGGGAGCCTCAAAATCCAAGAATCGAGCTCCCGCTCGAGTTTCCGACAATCCCAAAATCCAAAAAACCCACCCCAAGGTTTGGATTTTTGGAAACTCAAGCGGGAGCACGAATTTTGGATTTTGAGGCTCCCGCTCGAGTTTCCAAGAACCCGAAACTTGGGTTGGAATTTTTGGATTTTGGGTTTTTTGGAAACTCGAGGAATTTTGGAGTGTTGGTCTTCCACCCCCTTCCTGCACAGACTGGAAATACAATTCCGGGGTCTGTCGTAGGGGGGGGGGGGGGGGGGGCGTGACCACATATATATATATATATATATATGGTACCCCCCCCCCCAAAGATCTAGGTATTTTCCTAGTTTTGGGATCTGTTTTAGGGTTTTAGGGTTGGGGGTGGGGGGCTAGCTAAACATGGAAATCTCAATATGGACATGTAAATCTTGATATGTGCGAGTCTTCATATGTGCGTGGTCGCATTTTCAAATTGTGAGCCCGATTGAAAACGATTGAAACGATTGAAATTCAATCGGGGGCCCGATTGAAAAACGATTGAAACGATTGAAATTCAATCGGAGACCGGATTGAAGATTGAAGATTGAAGATTCCCGGAAAGCTTTTTTCTGGGAATCTTCAATCTTCAATCTTCAATCCGGCCCCCGATTGAATTTCAATCGTTTCAATCGTTTTTCAATCGGGCCCCCGATTGAATTTCAATCGTTTCAATCGTTTTTCAATCGGGTTCACGTCTTGTAAAGTGTCAGAATTAGCTTTCGTGACGTCGCTCAAGATCACGTCTTCGCAGACATTCCACTCGAAATATACTTGACCATTTGTGTTTGTAATACTCGCAATGGCTCGCATCCCAGTGGCTGGCTCAGTCTTATGGTTTTTATTGGTTTTTGCGGTGTTTCGGGAGCGTGGGTCCCACGCTAAAAATCGGTTTTACCGATGTTTTTGAAAGCCTACCTTCAAAATAACATCGGTAAAACCAATGTTTTTGAAAGCCTACCTTCAAAAAACATAGGTAAAACCAATGTTATTGAAGGCCTACCTCTAAAAAACATCAGTAAAACCGATGTTTCGTGAGCCCATGCTCCCAAAACATCGCAAAAAAACAATAAAAAAAAACATGTCAAAAACCATGATTTTCGAAACTAGTGGCTGGGGTGGCCGGCCGAGTAGTTTCAGAAACCATAGTTTTTATGTTTCTTATTGGTTTTTGCGGTGTTTCGGGATCGTGGGCTAAACCTTTAAGCCCTGTAGGCTATACGGTTAAGGTTTAAAGGTTTAGGGTTGAAAAGTTCAACAGTCAGCCCATAGAGTTTAAACCTTAAGGGTCCTAAACGCTTAACCTTTAAACCCTATAGGCCATAGGGTTAAGGTTGAAAGGCTTAGGGTTTAAGATTTTGGCATTAAAACACAAGCCCATAGAGCTTAAGCCTTAAGGGTTTAAGGTTTCAGCATTGAAACGATAACCCTAAGCCCTTTAGGGTCAGAACCTTGAAGCCCTGTAGGGCTCTAAAACGTTAACAGGGTTTAACCCTATAGGCGTTGAATGTATA